GTTTAATTGTGTGTGTGTGTGTGGTCGACGCGCGTGGTGTATCTCGACGAAACAAAATCAATACTCATTCTCCACCAGACGATCAGCATGAAGCCAGGTCACCAACCAGCAGATAGAACACAAGAACGAAGGATATACAGCGTAAACAGCATTCTTCATATAAATAGCTTTATAGCTGCGATGACAAAACACAACAAACACACGGCTGTCTATGGCATCCATATTTACACACCCTCGCGGTATGCAAATTAATTCCCTCACGTGGCCCCCGTAACTCCAAGCTGCCAAAATTCCTTTTATTACCGAGAGAAAGAATTTCCCATCCCTCATTTCCCATCTGACGTGAAATGTTTTGAATGAAAGACGCCGTTCCACAGAAAGGATTCTCATGTCGGTGTCAATCTAGGGTACTTATGCAATTAGGTAATATATGCAACTTTTTTCTCCCCGGCACATTAGGTTTTGCTATCAAGCTACGGAACATTTCAAGAATAATTAAGCCTAAAAACGCGACGTAATACAATCGACCCATTCCGAGGTTCCAACATTTACCACAGGAGATCCTATCTCTGTCATACTAGGCTGGGATGACAAAAATAAAACAACACACATAAAATAATTTACATATTTTTGACGCGTATAATTCTTCGCGTAGAAAATTGTTTTAATTCAAAAAGAACGCGTCAAAAATAGTTTATATTTCTCATAACAGATGGCGCGCATCATACATATATATTTAACAGGAATTTATTGAAATGTAATAAAAAAATGAATATTTCATTTATCGCCTTTCGACAATTCGAACCACATATCAAAAGTGGAGGGGACGATCATCGTATGTTGAGTGAAGAAGTGAAATATCTTAGTGAAACTTGATAATCAGCTGCTTTATATTATATCACGTGCAGGGACACGAGCGGACCATACGTGCAGGGACACGAGCGGACCATACGTGCAGGGACACGAGCGGACCATACGTGCAGGGACACGAGTGGACCATACGTGCAGGGACACGAGTGGACCATACGTGCAGGGACACGAGCGGACCATACGTGCAGGGACACGAGTGGACCATACGTGCAGGGACACGAGTGGACCATACGTGCAGGGACACGAGCGGACCATACGTGCAGGGACACGAGTGGACCATACGTGCAGGGACACGAGTGGACCATACGTGCAGGGACACGAGCGGACCATACGTGCAGGGACACGAGCGGACCATACGTGCAGGGACAAGCGGACAGCTGGGATGCAAGAGCCCCGGGGCGTCCGGCAAATCACATTTTCAGCCAATCATCGCCGAAATTTTAAGTGGAGCTGTCAAACTTGTCGTTTTTAACTGGACCTCGGGCGTTGGAGAAATACAATTGGACGCCTTTAATTTGCTTCCACACTGAAGCGATGTCAGGTGAACATTTTCTTTAAAAAAATGTCGCGTGAAGCCGCGTACAGGCCGTCTTCACTCCACATCCTGTGTAGCATCCATTCAAGTTTAAATACAAATTTATTGAATAATTTCAGATGAGAGAAAGCTATGCCAAATGATCAACGGTCGATTTGACTGTAAAATTTCCGCGTGGGCTTCAGAATGTGAAACTGAGGATTTACAGACCACGCCATGGAAGTACAAACCACGCCATGGAGGTACAAACCACGCCATGGAAGTACAGACCACGCCATGGAAGTACAAACCATGCCATGGAAGTACAAACCACGCTATGGAACCACGCCATGGAAGTACAAACCACGCCATAGAAGTACAAACCACGCTATGGAACCACGCCATGGAAGTACAAACCACGCCATAGAAGTACAAACCACGCTATGGAACCACGCCATGGAAGTACAAACCATGCCATGGAAGTACAAACCACGCTATGGAACCACGCCATGGAAGTACAAACCACGCCATAGAAGTACAAACCACGCTATGGAACCACGCCATGGAAGTACAAACCATGCCATGGAAGTACAAACCACGCTATGGAACCACGCCATGGAAGTACAGACCACGCCATAGAAGTACAGACCACGCCATGGAAGTACAAACCACGCCATTGAAGTACAAACCACCCTATGGAAGTGCAAACCACTCCATGGAAGTGCAAACCACGCCATGGAAGTAAAAACCACGCCATGGAAGTACAAACTACGCCATGGAAGTACAAACCACGCCATGGAGGTAAAAACCACGCTATGGAACCACGCCATGGAGGTACAAACCATGCCATGGAAGTACAAACCACGCTATGGAACCACGCCATGGAAGTACAGACCATGCCATGGAAGTACAAACCACGCTATGGAACCACGCCATGGAAATACAGACCACGCCATAGAAGTACAGACCACGCCATAGAAGTACAGACCACGCCATGGAAGTACAGACCACGCCATGAAGGTACAAACCATGCCATGGAAGTACAAACCACGCCATGGAAGTACAAACCACGCCATGGAAGTACAAACCACGCCATTGAAGTACAAACCACGCCATGGAAGTAAAAACCACGCCATGGAAGTACAAACCACGCCATGGAAGTACAAACCACGCCATGGAAGTACAAACCATGCCATGGAAGTACAAACCACGCCATGGAAGTAAAAACCACGCCATGGAAGTACAAACCACGCCATGGAAGTACAAACCACGCCATGAAGGTACAAACCATGCCATGGAAGTACAAACCACGCCATGGAAGTACAAACCACGCCATGGAAGTACAAACCACGCCATTGAAGTACAAACCACGCCATGGAAGTACAAACCACGCCATGGAAGTACAAACCACGCCATGGAAGTACAAACCACGCCATGGAAGTACAGACCACGCCATGGAGGTACAAACCATGCCATGGAAGTACAAACCACGCCATGGAAGTACAAACCACTCCATGGAAGTACAAACCACGCCATGGAAGTACAAACCACGCCATGGAAGTATAGACCACGCCATGAAAGTACAAACCACGCCATGGAAGTATAGACCACGCCATGAAAGTACAAACCACGCCATGGAAGTATAGACCACGCCATGGAAGTATAGACCACGCCATGGAAGTATAGACTACACCATGAAAATACAAACCACGCCATGGAAGTATAGACCACGCCATGAAAGTACAAACCACGCCATGGAAGTACAAACCACGCCATGGAAGTATAGACCACGCCATGGAAGTACAAACCACGCCATGGAAGTACAAACCACGCCATGGAAGTATAGACCACGCCATGGAAGTACAAACCACGCCATGGAAGTACAAACCACGCCATGGAAGTATAGACCACGCCATGAAAGTACAAACCACGCCATGGAAGTATAGACCACGCCATGAAAGTATAGACCACGCCATGAAAGTACAAACCACGCCATGGAAGTGCAAACCACGCCATGGAAGTATAGACCACGCCATGGAAGTACAGAACACGCCATGGAACCACGCCGGGCAATCGAAGCCAACCGACGTATTAAAGGCCAAACGACCCCCCAGGGAGCCAAGATGAACGACCTCCAGTCTAATGGCCCAGTTTTTGCATGTCCGGCAGGCTGCGATATGGACAAGTAGGCCGTGTTCTCCCGGGACCGATGGTAATGTTTCCATTTTTGTGCAGTTTAATGGTTGGTGGAGGTCCCGTTCGATCAGGGCCCCGTTGTTGGGCGCCGCGGTGAGTCCTGTTCCTACAGGCAGATGACGTTGCTGAAACAAGTCATTATTGCCACCATGGCATTCTTAAAACACGCGTGAGATAAATTTCGCACTGATTCATGGGGTTGTTCTGATTTAGCAGCAATTGTGCAGCGAGTCATCTCACGTCGTTCAGGACAAGATGGAGAAAGTGAAAAATGTTGGTTGAATCGTATTTTGCTTTTATGCGGGAAGATTGTAAAGAACACCATTTATGCCAAACATCCACGGCTACAGTTAGATATCGGTTTAACGGATTTAAAAGAAAGCAAAACTCCCCACAACACCATACAGTCTGTCAAGAAAGCTCACGGTGATGACCTAAATGGACAAAGTCATCGTCGCCAAGGCCTGTACTTCATTCCTCCACTCACCCCGAGACTGTTGTAGCTTATAATGGAAACTACATTTAATAAATCAAAACTATCAAAATTCGAAACTATTATAGACGCGTATGATTCTTTCAAAATAAAATAATTTCTACTGCCCTTACTGTAATGGAAAAATTAATGGGAGGGCCTGGCTAAAAAGAATCATGCGCGTCTATAATAGTTTCGAATTTTGATAACAGATGGCGGGCTAATGCATCATAAATCAAAACTATATCCTTTTATCTTCCACTGTGCGAAATTTCATTCCAATTATTTTACTCGTAATACATTTCAGGTAAGATTGTGGTTATTTCAATCTACCTGATACCCCCTGTTCATAGAAACTCTCTCCTAAAAAGGTCGGTGGACAAGTGGGTAACACCCTCGATTCCCTACAGCCATGAACCGGGATTGAATCCCACGTTAACATTTTGTTTAATATGTGAATAACCTTCACATTCATTGTTGTAATTATCATAAACTAGGTTGTTGAGCGGTACCTAATAAAGTGATTTTGGAACAAAGAGGAACTCTCCTCTACCTTGGCCATATGTTTTACCTGAAGAATATCTTGGCAGAAATCTATTTATTTTCATTTTTAATGAACAATGTCGCGGCCCCCCACCTCGGGGCCACACAATCACGTTTTGTTCCAATTTATCCAACCTGGACCCGGCACAAACAGAACTATGTCGTGTCCAACTAACATCTCCTGGAGTGACGCTGATTTGCATCTACCGTCCTTAGCTCGTGTGGAGGAACGTTTCAACGAGGGTTCAAAATGTATCGATGGAATTTGAATAAAACTATGTACAGTTCGAAATTTCCCTTTTTTTGCCAAAAAATGGAACAAACAAATAGAGGAATGTTCGCCCGGAATAGTTTCAAATATTTTAAACTAAAATTGTGGCCAAGTAACCCCGCTGTCTCCCCATGTCCAGGGTAGCCTAGTGGACATGGCATCTGCCCGGTAAGCGGAACACTGTGGGTTCGATTCCCGCTGTCTCCCCAGGACAACGAGATCCCGTTACTTCTAACGATGTCTTTCCAACTGAAATTGAAAAGTTTCCAGTTCAAATTTTATAATGTATTTGCTATAGCAAAGTTTCATTTTGTATCAATTTTCCTGTAGAGGGGAGTTATCCCGAAAGCTCGAAAGACGTTTAATCAAAGATACTGAGACGTTCACTTTGTTATCTGAACTTGCTAGCAAAGGATTCTAAATTGATATATATATATCGCTTACACAAGGGTCACTCCAAAAGTTTCTGCGATCAATATTAAATAATTAAAATATTAAAAAATAAATTACACCATTGAAATCTACATGTGTTTTTTACCTAACATAAACAGTTTCATAAAATAGTAACAACAATGTCTCATAGAGGGCGCGACTTTGTTTACAGCGGCAGCGGTAATTTCTAAACATTGCATCACACACAATGGAGTTGACTAGAGAAAGTTTACGCGCCATAATCTTTTATGATTATAAAAGTAATTTAACTTCTAAAGAATCCCATGAAAGATTGATGAAAGCTCCTTCTATTAGAACAGTTTTGTGTCTGTTTGAACTACATGTCGTATAGGAGCCAAGAATGGCGTCCCCCCCCCCCCCCCGTGTCCTGCCCGCCATCGCTCTGATTGGAAACACAAATTTCAAAATGGCGGCGACGTAATTAAGCAGATGTCAGTTCCGTGTGTGCGTCAAAACAAACTTCCCATTAAAAATTAACAAAAACTCAGGGAGAAAAACAAGATGTGAAATAAATCACGTGATGTGACAACTAATTTTAATTACAATTCCCGTTGATAGATGGCGTGGTGGTGGTTTAATTAAAGTTGGATTGTTCTCTGTGAGCTCCGCGTGTGGAATCTTTTACTACGTGGAGGATATGCAAATTGAACTGTTTTCGGAGAATCATTTGCATATTCATAATTTGAACCTACGGTTCCTTTCAGACATAGCTCAGTATTGGGACAAAGTTTCTTCCAAATATTGTGTACGGAACATATGCAAATCAGTCCCGTATCGGATTAATTTACGTATTCCGGGAGTGAAACCATATGACTCCTGGTGGCCTAGCTCCATACCGGCAAATATGTAGGAACGAATATGCGACAATTTCGACAAATTGCGACTGTATGGTGTCATCGGACAGCTATTGTAGAAACCTGTGAGGAACCAACAAAACACTTTTATTCTTTATTTACATAGAAGGGGTCAATCAAACTTTGTTATTCGGTAACCCTGGTTTTGAAAACAGTTTTTACAAATAATAAATTACTTAAAGAGAGAAAGTGCACAAGTCCAACTCTACCAGTGAGTACAAGTAACCAAACGGGGCTCTATCACCTTGTAAGCTGCTTTCTAAAAGTGTAGATATGGGGTGTATAACCAGTCACACACACACACCATGTGTCACGTGGGACAACAACAACAGAAATCAAGGACCGACCTATTTGCATATCTCCCCCCGTTGTCAAATATTCCCCCATCGACTGTTGTACCGACAATTCCATCAAAGTCACCACCAGCTCGACGCTCTATTCCTGGATGTCGAAACAGAAATGCTAAAATTGTTTGAAAATATCATCTTTTAACTTTTTAAAAATAAAAATAGAAACTTCATTTCAAATGGCCTCTAAAAAACGGCTGATGTTTGGTGTCCATGCTGACCACGGCTGGTATCCATTAGGACGTTGAACAACAAAAATGAAGTGACTTCACGCATGCGCCGAGCTGATTGGCAGACGTCGATGAGGTCAGATGGCAGCTTCCGGAGTGAGTTGTTCGCATAACGATAATTGTTGTATCAATGAGGATGGTTAATCTCTAGATATAATTTTCAGAGCAATCAATCAAAACCTATTAAAGATCGATACTTCGAAAGCTTATCTTTGGTTACCTAGATAAATAGCATTTGTAAATTGTGTGATTTAGGAAATGGATTTGTAAAACTGAGAATGGTATCAAGAGATTTGAAACAATGATGGCGCCCTGGCGGACAACCCGCGCTAGTAAAACATCAAGTTGACTAAATGGACTTTTTTTACCTTCCCCTCACACAGCAGAAATTACTGAATCAACCATTAAGGAAGTCACCATGGAGATAACGCTGAAGTTTCACATAGAGGAGCTATACAAAGCCTATGCAAATTGGCTTAATAATGAACTAATTTGCATATTTTGGGAGATTGAAAACATGAGGAAGCTATTAACGAGAATTCCTATAACCAAGATATCACTCCACAGACCTCTCTATAGTAAATATTACTTATCGTAATGATCAATATGCTGCTTTAGTCTGTTGTAAGAAATTTTAACTATTTTAACGCGATTTTTTAATAAAATAAAATAATAAAAAAAGAAAAAATTGCAGTAAGGGCAGTAGAAATTGTTCTATTTTAAAAAAGAAACATACGCATCAAAAATAGCTTGAATTTCTTATAACAGAAGGGGCGAGCAGCATATTGTGTTTTTTTTTAATGCTTTAATGGTAATTTGATGGCGTTTCATTATTGCTCATTCTGTACTCCTGTAGAAAGATGAAAATGCCCGAAAACTTGAGAATGCAATAAAAATGTAAAATAAACTTATCTCCACAAACCTGTTGCATTATTTAATTCGAGGAAGAGCAATTGCTCGAGAAACATATTTACATAGAATTATATGGAATTTCTACTGTCCTCAAAGTTCATGGTTCATTTAAAATACCTTTTTCCTTTAGGTCAGTATTGGTATAAAAGGAAAACATCTTAATACAATATAACGGTGGTATTGTAGATTAAACTGGCGAAACTGCTGAGAGGGTTCACCACTGATGAGCCAGGCCCTCCCATTAATTTATTATTGCAGTAAGGGCAGTAGAAACTTATTTTATTTAAAAAAAGAAACGTCAAAAATAGTTTGAATTTCTTATAATGATGACAATAAAAACATAAAAAAGACATGTCCTGAGTGCTCTCACATTTCTAGATAGCGACGTCTAGTGGAACAAAAATAAATGTGAGCGCGGTCAGGATATGTCTTTTTTAGCAAATGACAACATTTAGACGCGAATGTTTCACTCATATATCAAACTTCTACTGTCCTTACTGCGATGAAAAAATATTGGGAGGGCTTGGTTCATCAGTTTCCAAAATCACTTTATTAGGTACCGCTCAACAACCTAGTTTATGATAATTGAAACAATGAATGTGAAGGTTATTCACATATTAAACAAAATGTTAACGCGGGATTAAATCCCGGTTCACGACTGTCGGGAATCGAGGGTGTTACCCACTCGTTCACCGACTTATTGGCTCATCAGTGGTAAACCCTCCCAGCCCTTTCGCCAATTTAATCTACCAGACCGCTTCTTCATAGCTCTAATACTGTGTTGGATCATTATGTTTATATATGCTACACTGAAGGGTGGAATCTCAGAAATGGTATTTAAGCCAACTATGGACATAAGTTTGATACATGTGTTCAACAAACATTCGCGTCTAAAGTTTCCATTTGCTACATAAAGAGGTCATGTTATTGCTTTATATTAATATTGTGTTCTACAATATCAACACCTGACCTTTTCTTCTATTTTTTTGCATATAAATTATTTTTTCAAATGATAATGAATATTGAAAAAGGCATCTCCTTATCGTACAACTGAAAGTTGCTGATGGCTTGCGTCATCTATCGGAATAAATATCAGCTATTCTCGTTGATTTTTAATTATTCCAAAATTAAAATATCTCATTTGTACTATTTTTTTTTTCACATGATAATGAAGTTATTTTTGAGACTTAGCAATGATTTGTCGTTTTGTATTTCTTAGTAAAACGGGGTGTGTAATAACATGGGCATTACATTATTGACAAATTTGTTGAAACCGCGTTGGGCAACCATTCACTCTAGCAGAACACGGGCGAAGCCGGGGTCATTCGACGAGTTTTCTGTATTTTTTTAAACGTTTCACCTATACACGAATATGCACAAAGCCCCAAATAATAAATACACATTAAAGCTCAAAGAAAAAATTTAATGAAACAAAAATTCATCGCAGTGTTAGGTGGAGACCTTATGTGGCAGAAAGCGGAATTTCTAAAAGAATTTATTATTTCAATTTATATCCCAACCAGTTTGACTTGGTGATAAAAAGACTTTTTTTCCCTCTAAAATAATTTACTTCTTAAAAATTCATTATTTGAAAAAACTATATTGTCGGGGAGATATAAAAAATTACGGTTAGGTTTTATGCGTCATTAAATAACGTCACTCCATATCACAATTTAACAGCAAACTTTGGAGAGCTCCTTTTTTGTCAGAGAGCTCAGGCAAACAGCCCAGCCATACTTGGCGGGGGAAAAGTTTTTAAATAAACAAAAAAATTCTCTCAAAACCTAAAAAAAAAAAAAATGATGAAATAATAAAAAAAGTGTTTTAAAGTCTAGGAAAACTTTCAAATCGTGTTCCAAGAAACATTCAATCGATTTTAGCCAATGAGAAGTGGGATATTAAATCAGCAGACGATATTAATAAATGCAGACGAAATGTCTATAATTAGTTGGAATAAATTTCTTTATCAACCAATGCCTCCACATGATAATAACAATAATAAAGGACAAGAAAAAGAGAAAAAAAAAACTTTTTTCAAAGAACTAAAAATCCACGGATAAATTATGTTGGGCAACTAATTTATTTGAGCAAAAATTGACTGGTATTATTGCAGCTTCTGTGATCAATATATAATTTATTGTTCGGGCTGGCAACCCTTCTTTAAATAGCCCTTCCTTAATAGGGAACAAGTTGATACGTTTCTAGGTGAGCTTAATAATAGAGTTTTGGGCACATTTGATAAATGGATAGAAAATTATATGTTTATATTAAAATAATATTTATTCACACATATTTCTCTACATTACTTCGCTCTGATTAAAATTACTTTTAACTATTCGGAATATTTAGTTGCATAATTTGTGACATTCCTTTTTGAATATAACGTATTACATAGCTGAATACTTACCAAGTACTGT